AATCTCTTTAAAATCTGCTTTCAATATGGGATATATGATAAAGTTAAATTTTGTATGCCTTGTGGCCAAAATATCTTCCTGGTTCTACTATCACCTACTACTAAGTCACACATAGTCGGGCGGAATCAAGTTATGCCAAGGTGGGCAATTTCCACTCTAAAAAATAATGCTAGTTGCTCCTCTCCACTTAGGATGATGTTGATGAGCTTTGATAATTAGCTAGATAATCTTCTTTCCCATTTCAAAAAATCATAACTATTTAAATTATCTCAAAATTATTTATGCTCATTCATGCAAAAACTTCTCATAGAGTCTCCTTTTATTAATTAGTTTTAAATATTTAAAAATCATGTAAATTATCTTACTAGTTGGGCTATGTTTTTGTTTAATACTGTGAAAATATGCTTAGATTTTCATTTAATTTGATGATCATACACTATGAAATTTGATGTTTTATTCTGCCTCACAACTTGTTCCTTAGATTTATTACTAAAATGTACAGATACACGACTGAGTTAGGCACCTTTAATCTATGATATACAATAATATGAATATAATTATGGTATAATTTATATTTAAAGTACAGTGTTTAAAAATACAGAACTCCATCATCATTACTTAGTTATATGAAAATTTGGTAGACTTGAAGTTTCGCTTTTGTACAATTAATAGACACGCTGTATCAATCAACCTTGGAAACAATAATGTGCTACCTATTCAAGTGTGATAGAAATGAAAATTTTAAGATATCTAATTGGAAAAATTATTAGCAGTAGTATGAGAATAATTATATGAAAAGTGATGAGCACAACACGTATTGAAGATGCGATAATGAAAAGTAGATTTAGATGACTTGGTGATGCAACACAAGAATCCATTATCAATTATGGACATGGTTATTAATTTTATCTATTTAATTTAAATCTATATAATGAAGGAACAATTCTCCCTTTCTTGCATGCTTGGCCTCTTCCATAGGATATGTACATGTGAATTTTGAATAACCTTTTCCTTACTGAATACATAGATAATTCACCTATAAATAGGTGAGTACAAAATATAAAAGCCATAGATAATTCACCTATAAATAGGTGAGTACAAGATATAAAAGGAGGAAAAAAATCTTCCTACAATTAAGTAATTCCTATAATTATGGAATAAACATGAATACCTATAATTAAGGAATTACTCTTTTTATACTACGGCAAAATATAACAAGTACTAAATAAAAAAAAGTAAATAATAATGAGCATAATTCCACACTCCCTCTCAAGGTGGGTTGTAGAGATTGTACATGCCCATCTTGTTGGTTAGCTCACATCTTGTTGGTTAGCTCATCGTAGCTCATCGAAACTGGACTTAGGGAGAGCCTTGGTGAGAATGTCTGCGGTTTGGTCTCTAGAAGGAGTATATACCACTTCAATGATTCCATTGTCCACCTTCTATGAAATAAAGTTTCTATTAATCTCAATGTGTTTCGTTCAGTTGAACAGGATTCTTTGCGATACTGATTGTAGCTTGATTTTCACAGAACATCTTGATAGAATTTTCTCCCATAATTCCAAGCTCCCTGAGAAATCTTTTGATCCACATTCCTTCACAGATACCAAGCGCCAGTGCTCGGTATTCTGCTTCTGCACTACTCCGAGATACCACCGATTGCTTCTTACTTCTCCGTGTCACTAGATTGCCGCATACATACGAACAATACCCAGAGATTGATCGTTGGGTGGATATATCTCCTGCCCAGTCAGCATCAGTAAAGACTTCTACCTTTTGATTATTATTCCTTTTGAATAATAATCTTTTCCCAGGCGTCATCTTTAAGTATCTTAAGATACGGTTGACAACTCCCATATGTTC